TTACTTAATAAAACTGGTTTATTCTTTCTGAATATAACTTCACGATACACTTGATTTCAACATTCGCGCTAAAACAAACGCGTTAACTTCAACAATACTTTCTCCCTGCAGATCAATTACTCACTACCTACACACACATTATTGTCCCATCACGTTGTCACCCTCTTTTATATACCACACTACCCTATATCTAGTAAATGCTAGAGCATTCGCCAAGGTACAGGATAGTTCTAGAAACGTAGCGTGACACTAGTCATGTGACTTCGCTGACGTAACAATATAGACGACAAACAACTTCAGATAAATGTTTTTATGTTCTACCCAAAGTTTCGGTTTAGGTTTTGTTTTTTAAAGGGCCGATGAACGCCACAGGTTACAAAACTGATTTTAAACTATAGTAACCAAAAAGTCTCTTGTTGTTGTTGCGATAGTCTGGCAACTGTGAGTTTTATTTATTAAAAAACTTGAAATACCATATTGCAGAAATGATATCATCGTCCATGCGATTTTGTATTGGCGAACCAAATAAGAGCAAAGTCGCGTTCCTTCTGCATAATTTGATTGATCTAGTCCGTCGGTATATCGCTATGAAAGTGTAATATATATGTATATTATTATCATTATTAGGTATTTCTAACGTACAGAATTTTATTAGTCGTCGAATTAAAGTCTGTGTTGTTTGTTTTGTGTCCGTTTTATTAGAGGCCTAAAAAAACAAATATGCTAGATGACGACAAGGAATAGTCGTGCGATAGTTTATCTTGGTTTCATTAGCTATTTCAGGTTATATAAAAGTAGTAAATTTTTCGGTCGAGATTATTTGCATTTTGTATCATAATTAGGTAAAGGAAGCTTTCCCATGATATTTAATATAAATAGATATATATTTTCACATAATATTTTGTAAATTTCAATAAAGTATTTTTTTTAATTATAATACACAAGGGCCGACTAGAGATAACTCCAAAGAAAATAACTGTTTCGTACGAATAATAGAGGAAACGACCTTGAAATGTGGTGCGAGCATAATATTCTTTTCGGGTTGGACAAATATTCTGTGGTGTAATAGCATAATTTCTATTGTAATAAATTTTATAAATCAATATTTTTTTCTTTGTTGAGCTTCTTTTTTTAACTAGGCCCCAATTTCAATTTACATGCACAATCTCGTGAAACTGGGGGTTCATGTCTTGGCTGACTTGTATTATTTTCGGTACTCTGTCTTATAAACTCAAAAGGCGATATGTTTTGTTCGTTTGAAAAACACACGAAAATATGTTTCACAAATACCCATTAATCAAAAGTGTATTCGAATGGAATACTCGTGTTGCATTAATACTATTAGTATTACAATCAGGAAAAGTATACATTGCCATTTGTGTTGTAATTAATACTAATTCTGACAAAGTAACAGCGTTTATAGTTAGCAATGACATTGATACCGATAGTAACATTAACTGAATTTTGAAGAGGTTTATGAAAATGGTATATGTCTTTTAAACTTATATAATTCTTGCTTTTCTAAAACATTATAAGTTTGAAATATATAAAGTTATTGAAGTTGAATTAGCTTTTGGTGGAAATACAACATTTCGTTCAAGGATGCTAATGGTGAGGTGACAAAAACAAACTAAAAGTGTGACATTAGAAAGTTTGAAGTATATTGTGACTGCTAGTGTTAGGCCTACTTTGAATATTATATATGATCATGCCTTTTAAACTAAAGTTTTAGAGGCGAAACTTTGTAGTGTTTTGTACTAAAACAATAAATGTTATATTTATTAAATTTAGGGCTACCACCTTTGAAGTGCAAAAACAACAACAAAAAAACAGCACTCGCCACATACACCTCAAACATTGGAACTGAAAGTGAAACGGTGAACTGAACTCATTTTTACAGGACTAAACCAATTATATAATAATAATATAATACACTATACTAATAAGTAATATTCTACAACAGTCACTTATACTTTATAGTAGAGCGTTTTCAAACTCTTCCACACACGTGGCAGTTTTGATCTATCAATATTATCAATGAAACTGGGGAAGTGGCAACATAATAACAATGAGATTTAGCTGGACAAAGAAACGTTTAACATTCGATAACCATGTGTAATGTGGTAACTGCAAATATTATGTCCATGGAAAAAAAAAAACACACCAGACTATTAAATTGTTTTTTCTTGCAACCAGAAAATACATAAAAGAAGCAAGGCCAGTCAAGTGGCAAATATAGTCGTAATCCCACCAAAAGCTGTTTTAGTAACTTTGTCTATGTTCCATAATTAGATTTTGTAAGTTTAAGTTGTAAGTAACTTGAAATAAGTATTAACATTTATTATTATGCTGCACATAAGATTATGAATACAAGTTTAGTGAGGAGTAATGTGGATATGAGAGAAAAACAACTTGCATATAAAAGAAAGAATATATTTTTATATAAAAGTATTAATATATCAAATCAAATATTATTTAAGTAGTTAATAACATGTTTACTAAAAGATTTTGTGCAGCCTTCTGCATATTAGATATTGTATACTTGGTACTTTATTATATGTAGATATTAATACATTGGTAAGTAAAGATTTAAAGTACCAGGAACAACAAAGTTGTAAAGAAGGTTAAAGATCATATATGAACCCTTTTCTCTTACTCTAATTTTTAAAAAGTTTGTAGACAGTAGGTAGGTGCTTGACAAATGGAGAGTTGCTAATGGTATTCAAGTTTTTAGATGGGAAGGATAACATTTGTCCTGGAAATCAAAGGCCAATAATCAGTCTTACTTCTGTAGTTATAAGAAAAATGCTAGAGTCCGATAAAAAAAAAGCTTTGTCAAATCACTTAATGATATATGATATCATAAAGGAAAGGCAACATGGATTTCATAAAGGAAAAAATTTGTCTTTTTAATCTTTTAACATTTTTAGAGGATATTACTTATCAGAACAACAGAAATGGTGTGGACTTGATGTACTTAGGTTTTGAAAATGCTTTTGATAAGGTGTCATACAGAAGATTAGCTTGGGTTGGGAAAGATTAATTAATTAACTTTTATGATGGTTGGATGAGAGAAAACAAGAAAGTATTGGAGTCCAGTCATACTAATCCCTTTTTATTAGTGGTGTACCTCAGGGGACAATGCTTGTACCTATGTTTTTTTTTACATACATTAAAGATCTTGTTAGAAAGGGTTAAATTGGGGCAGAACAGTCTAGAACAGCATTTCACCTTTTGAGGATTTAAGACATTAACATTCCTGGTATTCTGATAGGGTCACTCTGTGATCCACACTACTGCTATAAAGTTGATCACAAAAGGGAGTTCCACCTCTTTCAAAATCTCAATTTATCCATGTTTGTTAGGAACATAATTAATGAATTATAGTAAAGTTTGCTGATGACATTAAACTGTTGAATTTTTCTAGCTGTATTGAGGATGTTGTTGTAGTGCAGAATGAGTTTGGTCAGTTGTTAAGTTGAATAGATATGTGTTAAATGTGTTCTCTTTGTGATAACATATTTAGGTTATCATAATTTGGATAATGTATTTAATATAGATGGGAATCACCTCAATATAGCATAACTGAATAAAAAAATCTAGGCATATGGTAGTTAAATAAGCCATCAAGATACTAATCTTGCTAGAGTAAAGTTTTATTGTAGCTAAGAAAGAGTATTGACTTATTGGAAGTGTTTTCAGAGAAGGGCTTCTAGGATGATTCTGGGGATGAAAGGCTTATCTTATAGAGATAGGTTAATCATTTTCTCTTGAGAAAAGAAGGGTAAAGAGGTGATCTTATTGGAGTTTACAAGATTATTCTAGGGATCAATAGGGTAAAAATCTCTGATGTCTTTGTGTTACATTCTAAAAACAATAAGAAAAGACAGGCTAGGCTTCAGTTAAGACAGTTTTATTTTTCTAATAGGTGATAGACTTATGAAGTGAGTTGCTATAAGTAGAAATGGAGGCTGCTACTTAACGAGTAAGAAAGAAGTGGTGGCCTCTTGAAAAATAAAGGGTGGGTTTAAATTTTTACTTTTCTCAAGGGTAGGTATGCAAGGACAGCCTTGAAAGACCAATTCCCTTTGTTATTTGTGTGTGTATGCTACTAATACCAGTTGTACCAGTATCAGAATGGTGGAATTAGGGCAGTACAAAAAATATAGATTCAATTGATGCTAATGTTTCTCTCAAAACTAACATTATTACAAAATAATTTCAATTGAGATAAAAAGTTCTGAGTTATGTGAAACTGGTGCTGTTTATTAGAGGAGGTGAAGAGGTCATGAGGTTTTTTAGGATTGTTTGGAATCCATAAATCCAGGTGATTTTATAAAAAAAAAACTTGCAGGCAGTAAGACAAGAGGACACAAGTTTTAAGGTATGGAAGATCCAGACACACTGTTATTTTTTAATATATTAGTCAGCTTTTGGTATAGTTTGTTTTCGTGTGTGATAGAAGCTGCAACAGTGAAGAGGTTTAAGAGGTTGTTGGATGAGTAATTTATAGATTTAGATTTGGATATAAGACAAGGAGTTTATGTAGTTTGGAATAGGATGGTAGTAAAAATGGGATAGCCTAGATGGCCAAATGACTAAATGTTAACTTTTGGAAAGTAGAGAGAAAAAATTTTAAATTAAACATAACTATATATGTTAATAAAACAGTGCCTGTTTTTTTAAATGGATGCTACTGTAGCACGCGATCTGCAAAGATACTGTCATCATCACCATTTTAATGATTCAATAAAACATAATTTTTTGCTAAATAATTTATATATATTGACATTTTTGTTCAGCAAATAGTAATAATTTAATAAGTTGTGTGTTCCAAAAGAGTACCTTAAATTTAGGTTATAATTGTGCTAGTTTTGTTTGTTGGAATTCATTTCATTCCAATTTTATTAGCCCCCAAAATATTATGTAATGGTGTTTTGTAATTTATTAGTTTAAAAGTGTTATTTATAATAAATGGCGGCAATTGCAAATAAACAGAAATTAAAACGGTGATAATGATAATATCTGTGTAGAGCACACGCTATAGTGTACATATCTTTGTAGACCACATGCTATAGTAGCACATTTAAATGTATGTAACTAAGAACCTACTTTTCAATTCAGAAATTTTGATCCATTGAATTTTGTACAGGACTCATTCAAATATTTTTGTACTCTTTCATAGGAGGAGGAATATAATAAGCCAGAAAAAAGGCATAAATCATCAAAACATAAAAATAAAAACAAATATGAAAAAAAAGAAAAGAAGAAAAAATATGGATCAGAAAAGGTAAAAATCCATTAAAACATTCTTGTAACAGTCTGCTTAAGTGTTATCTGTTGTTGGTTTACATTGTATCTCATGTCATAAATTACAGATAAGTAATCCAAAGACCTGGCATGGACTAGTGGTTAGAGTTCTCTTCTTGCAATCTGAGGGTCACAGGTGTTTCTCCCATCATCAAACATGCTCACCCTTTTAGCTGTGGGAACATTATAATGTGATAGACCAGTGTTTCCCAAACTTTTGTCATCCACACCCCTCCTCCTTCAATAAATATGGGATCTTGCATGCCCCCTCTTCGTGAATATTATTGGCTCAATCAAAGGGTATTAGAGCCAATAATATTTGCAAATCCTTAGAAATAATATAGTTTAAAAAAAGATCATGAACTACTGAATAGAGACGAAGGTCAAGTGAATATCTGCATAAGAATGTAATGGGACCTTCTCTGAGATTTATTCATAAATGTAAACCAACACACAGGTCACATGATGTAACTAAGAAGAAATAAATATGACACTTATGTTTTGCAATTTCACTTCTGAAGATGACGTAGTAAATGTCAAAACATGCAGTCCACATTTTAGAAATGTTTGTAATTGTGTATTTATTATTGTAAAATGACATTTTCTTGTATTTAAAAGTTCAGATATGGATTTGAAATTTCTGCCTCTTTGAGTTTCAAAACATTAGCTGTGAACTTCAGTTTCAAGAACTGTTTTTATAAATAAGGCATAAAATGTAATAGTTTAAAACATTTTAAAAGGTTTTTCCTTGTAATGCTTCTAAAAAAGACCTAACTAGTATATCAGTAAATTAAAAACACTTGACAAGTTCTTCTGCTTTCATTGTAACACTTTTCAAGTTGCCATCACCTTGGTTATTTTCTGTGGCATTTTTCTGTCACGCAGTGGATCTTTCTGATGATCAGGTTGTTATTTTAGTAGTTAAGTACATTTGTTGTCACTTGTGATGTGGTTGACTTGTATGTCAGATTATATGATTTGTGAGGTACCCCTAAGTTGTATGTAGTTTCTAAGGGCCTGCCACTAGAGCTACATATGGCTACTTTCTTTAACGCCTTACCTACCAAGGCCATCTTGTCTTATCGTGAGGGCAAAATCACATTAGTGAATTGAAAAAAATTATAGAGAACTTATCTTTTATTGGATTTCAGAATTTATTTATATGAAATTGTATTATATAATGAAGTGTAAAGAGAAAGTTGATAAAAAAAATCCCAAAATAAGTTTGAGACTATAAATAAGCACCCTCTAAGAAGAAAATTTTTTTTCAACAATATTTTAAATTTTTTCCTTGCACTTTAGTGCTGGTCCTGCCATCTATGATTGGTATCTAAACTTTTCCTAGTCTGTTTTCTTTATAAAACAGCATCTGGGCATATTAAACCTCAGTTGTAAAACTTTTAGCCAATCCTAATTGAAGTTGTCAATTTCAGTACCATGTTATTCCAATCACCGTATTTTGCATTTGACAAGTCATAGGATGATAAGCAAAGCATGTTACGAAACGTTGTTCTCTGGATTTTACAATATCAATTTCAGTACCATGTTATTCCAATCGCTGTATTTTGCATTTGACAAATCATAGGATGATAAGGAAAGCACATGACAAAACGTTGTTCTCTGGATTTTACAATATGAACTTGAAAGGTGCTTATTATAGTAACTGCCATTTTATGTAGAGGTTATGTATAATATTGGTCAATATTACTTTTTTATAATCCTTAGAAAATTTGGTTCTGGAAAAAACTGCATGGGATGTATGTGAATTTTATTATTTTTTTATAGTAGCTTATGTTATTTTCTATCATATATCTATTTATATTAATCATTGTATTTAAAATTTAACTCAAAATAGATATATATTTTTGGGAAAAAAGTTTATTCACGAATGTTAGGATTAAGATCTATTGAGTGGCGAGTGCATGGTCTTTACGTGAATTAGGCTTAGAATTTGTGATTTTTTATATTCTTTTGCATTTTAAATTAGTAGTTTTAAGTTCAATAATTTTAACGTAATTTTATATTTAGTTCATAATAAAAATATGATTTAGTATTTAGAATGATAAACTTGTGTGATTTATATGTACTACTACCAGTACTACATAATTTTGTTTTTTCTTCTTACTATCTTTACTTTGTAGTAAGACCCACACTTCTGTTGTTGTTGTTGCTTTATAATTAAAACAGTTTAACTGATATATAAAAGTTGATTCTGATATTTTGCAAATGGTTTAAACTCAGTGTACAAGTGACAACAATAAAACCCATATGTTGGTTGTGAAACAGACTAAACACTTTTGTCTCAGTAATACAGGGGAAGCTATGACATTCTCACAGTTGAGGTATCAATACACTGAAGAGCTTAAGTTTCGAATTCCAACATAAATATTGCCTATAATGGAGAAATGTGAGCAGGACTAATCTTTTAAGTGCTGTAAATTTCTTTTAATGTGGCTTCCTTATACTATTTACACTACTGTGGAGTTGATCCATCACTGTACTGGTTGACATGGCCTCCTACTATTCATTTACACATACAGTTGAGTTGATCTGTCACCTTAATGGTTGATGTGGTCTTCTGTTACACATTCAATACCACATTGAATTGATCCGTCACACATGCAGTTCACCCCTTTTGATTGGGAGCCCTTTCCTACCCTCTCATGGATGTCAGTTCCCAGCATTGAGGTGTTGAATTTGAATGAATCATTCAACATAAGTCCTTGCACATGTTGAATTTATCCTCTCGATGCCAGATGGCCTGTCCTTGATTGCTGTAGTGTGTTGATCCTTGTGTAATACCCAGGAATTGGAGCAGATCTTAATCCACAATTCTTTGGTTGGAGGTGAAGATGGTATGATTCTCATCCTACCCTCGCATGGATGTTGGTACCCCGTAGAGGAGGTTTTGGATATAGTTGTCTTGTCAAGTACGGTCCAATGCTCCCTAGCCACTCTACTCATCACAATTTCCACCCGTGTGTTTTATGAATTATACACAAGGGTAAAGAGTACACCTGGCTTAGAAGTGGTGCAGTTCTCCTCCTCTGATATCTGGATCTCTTTCTCTCATGGCAAGGGGTATCCTTCAGATTCTTTTGTGGGTGCTTCTGTTATTCCCTTGCACTGGTCCCTCCTCCTTCTCAATGTGGGATTCTAGATAACCATGTTAGAGGAGGTAAGTGACTTATCAGAAGTTATAATTTTACTATACTGAAAATGTACTTCTGATAGGAACTTACATCCTCTCACACTTCCCACCCTTCCTCCTCACTTCTCCGGTGCTCATACCTTCTGCCAAACTTCGAAGTGAAGGTTCGGTAGAGGAGTGTAGAGGGAGTCACATGTGTTATTGGTTAATTTACATGAGAGACATGTTAGAATGTACTAATTCCAACAAGGGGGTAGTGCAAGGCTTGTGGCATGTATAAAAAAAATGTTTGCACATAGAGGGCAGCACTGAACGAGAATAGCTAATCTTGTGAGAGTAGGTAAGTACCTATCGGAAATAAATTTTCAGTATAAGAAAATTATAACGTTACAAGCTACATACTATTTGGTTTCTTGTTCATGATTATGCTTTTTTACCTAAAAGGCATTGTTCTTAGTTAGAGTGGACATCATCTAATTTTCAATGCACATTTAGCCTCACTGTTTGTTCTTCTTGTTCACTTGACAATCAGATGTCCATTTCACCTTTTTCTGTAGGGTTTGCATATGTTACAGCAATGCACGTCTCTCTTTTTTTTTTTTCTCAGGTAAATAATCAATGCTATTATTATTGGCATTTGTTCTGTGGTCTTTTGCTAGAAAAGCCTAGTTTTCTTCAAGACTCATGCAACCTTTTTAAACTTGTTCTTGCAGTTCCTCCACTATTCTAGTATGTGAATTGGTAATTCACTTTCCATTTTTTCTATAACAGGTCGATTATCTCCTTTTTTATTTTGGATAAAGGTTTGGTTTTGCCTTTCTGTTTAGTTACTGAGCTTATATTTAGCAATTTTTCATCATGTTATTGAACCTTTTTCACTAAATCTCTTTCATTCCTTCTAATTTCAGCATTTTCTCATTCAGTGATATCTTTTTAACTAAGCAGATTATTCTGGTAACTGAAGCTCTGAATTATAATAAGTTTTAATACCTTAATCCACTTTATATTTTGGAGTTGTCAAGAATCGTCATTGATCAGAAATTTATGTTATTATTACATCTACCATGCTGTATATTTCTGAAATCATTTGTTTTTCAACATGACAAACTTTTTTATCATTCTCGAGTTTTGTTGAGGAGGTAAGATAAAAACCTTTCTCCTTTTATCATCTCTTCCCTTTGTATAGGTTGTAATGATTAAATACAGATTATCATCAACTTTTTTGTCTGTGCACTTTATGCATGACTTGTACTGAGTTATTATATTGTTTCTCATGGGGTGTTTTTTCTTGTTTTGATCTCTTCCAGTTAACTTAAGTTTGTTCTTTGGAAGGCTTACCTCAGTCTCATTTAAAAGTTGAGATATAAATTCTTAGCTATCTTCCACTAATTCCCTTTCAAGTAAACAAATACCATAGAAATCAATTTTACATGCCCTTTCAGGATTAAGAATGTTGCTTGGATAATGTGATAAATACAAGTTCAATAATTACAACTTATGTGTATTATCTCAAAGAATTTTTTAGTGAATCTAACGTCAAGTATAGTAAAAGAAATCAATTGAATATCGTTGCATTGTGTGTTCCCTTTTATTTCAGAATTTTAGATTTTTTCTTTTGATATATTCGTTGACTGAGAAATTTTATAATATATATTCTAAGTTTACAAATAAAATGTTTTTTCTTTATATATTTTGTTTTAGAGAGAGGAATGGGTGGAACTTAGTCCGTCTGATATTTCCACTGTCAGCTCAAATGAGTTAAGAGAAAAAAAGAGACAGGAAAAGAAAGAAGCATTAATCACAGAAAAAGTTAGTTTTTGTTTAAAAATTGGGCTTAAAGTATTAACTGGAATTATTATCACTAAACACATTCTTTGGTGGTATTCTGTGCAATAGTTGAACAGATGGCTTGGTTATAACAAGAGAAATCAATATTGTTTTTAAGAAAATACTTGAAACATTTCAATAATTACTATCTGTTTGTGCTACCTCAAGGAATGTTATAGTGAATTTAGCATCAAATACCATAAAAGAAATGAATTAAATATTTTATAAATTCCTTTTCTTTTTGTGTGGTTTTTTTATCTCTTTGTGTATGGGGCTCATTCATTTTGACCAACCTTGTTACCAGAAAACTATACTTAATATACATCTGAATGTATTAAGTGTATCTTCACAAAAATTTTCAAGCTTTTAGTAAACATTGCAAGTCTGCTGTACACTGAACAATTAGCTTTTTTAATAAAGTTCTTTTATTAAAAATCCTTTACAGAGTCAGTCTGTGTGAAAGGTGACTTTCATGTTTAAAATAAATACTTTTTTCACCTTACAATTTTCATATTTCATTTGCTTAACTTATAGATCCTTCTAAATGAATATAAAAAATTTTCTTTGAGTAAAATGTTATACTTTGTCTTTTATTTTCTCTACACAACTTTAGTGAAAACAGTGAAACAAAATACTGAACAAGAGAGAGTCTTGAATAGCTGTGGCTATAATTAGATCTCAAATTGGTCATGAGATGAAGCTATTAGCTAAAAGTTTGTTGTTGAAAACTCTATGACCCGCTATACCATGGCGACAAATATTAAATAAAACAACAAGTGTCTTTTTTATCTAAATGACTATAGATTGTAACAGACAATTACAATTATTTATTCTAATACAGGTTACGTTTTTAAAAACTTAACTTTTGCTTGCTTTTATTTTTATTATTGTGCAATGCTTTTTAGATTATTTAACAACATGAAAGTCAGTGAATTACGCATGAGAACTTAGTGTAAACAAACAAGTTACAATCACATGAAGCTGGTTTCATGAATTTTTTTAATAAGTTTCTAATATTTACACTCGAGTAACTTGGGTTAAAAAGTAGATATAATAATAAATAAAAAATGCACATAAATGTTAAGAAATTTAAGACTTATGTGACAGATTGGTATTTGTGTACTTGAGAATGGACTTTGATAAGACTACTTTTTTCCCACTATGTTGGGTGTCCACAAAATAGATTTTGCTTTTAGATTTTCATTTTATAATACAAAAATATATTCAAAAACTACTATAATTCAACTGGCTTTATATCTAAGTTATAAATAGGTTAAACAATTATATTACTGTCAGATAGAATTATAGACATGTTTTGAAAGACAGAGAGAAATAGGGGAGCTTGTCATGTGGCTATGACAAATATAATATCTCATTAAAGAAAGATTCAACATTTAAATTTTGTATGATGGGCTATTAATATTTATATTATGTGTATCTAATTTCTCAGACACACCAATACACACTTAAAAGTAAAAAGAAAAACTGAAATGGGAAATCAGAGCACAAGATAAATCACATGACACAAAGTTCAAGATTAAAAATTAATTTAAATATTTCTTTTGAAAATAAAAAATTAAAACTTAGATAATATAACTCTGAAACTGCTATTTCTATTGGTCATAAGCTTATCCAATAGCAATGTCAGAGAGAACTATAGATGTGTCTTGAAAGGCAAAAGAAATATTAGGGCATGTCAAGTGGATGTGAGAAAATAATGATATCTCACTGAAGCAAAAATATTGTATGCTCAAATTTTATATTTAGGATTATCAATATCTATAGTCGTCATCATCAATTTTTCCAAATATCAAGTAGTCCATAGGGTAATTATGTGTATGTAATTTCTTGAACAATCTGAAGCACACAATAGAGTAGAAAAAAAACACTAATATAAGGAATTTAGAGTGCCTGTTGCATCATATGACACAAAGTTCAAGATTGAGAATTTATATAAATGCTTACTTTTAAAATTAAGACTTGGATAAAATATAAAAATTTGAACTATAAACTTTTGAGCCAAGCTTATTGACATATGTTTATAATAAAATATTTTAAATTTTGATTCAAACTATGTAAAAGCTTATGAAATGTGTACTGTGATCCACTTGTGTCCATAAATTTGATATTTTCTGTGACAGAGAAAGTATTTTGATACACTTGCCAAGCTCAATGCCAAATTGTATTTCTTTTATATTTTGTTTTAGAGAGAAGAATGGATGGATCTTAGCCCATCTGCTATTCCTACTGTCAACTCAGATGAATTTAGAGAAAAAAAGAGACTGGAAAAGAAGAAAAAGAATAAAGAATTAATCACAGAAAAAGTTAGTTTTTGTTTACAAATACAACTTAAAATATGACTTAGATTATTATCACTAAGCACATTATTTGGATGGTACTCTGTGCAACATTTGAACAAATTGGTTAGTTCTAGCACAAGAAATATCAGTCTTGTTTTTAAGAAACTACTTGAAATTCTTACAAAAGGTTTATGAAGAAGATTCTAAAATTATGCATTTTAGTTGTTTTTCAAACTTAAGAACTATAATATTAATACAGTTGTAGATTTTATTGTACATCATTTACGTAATATCTGTGATCTAAACTAATAAAACAACCTATGTGTTTATGTGTGTCAGTCAATCAGTGCCATAGTTCTAAGAGGAAAGCATCTAGAGATCTGAAACCTTGCACAGATACTAAGGAAATGGAATACTGAGGGTGTGCATCTGGGTATTATTTTTATTATACATGGACTTCTCTCTGTGTTAACATACATTTTTATTTGTGAGCGTTCGGCTCTCTTACCAGAGCCTTCCTCAGGCAACATTGTACTGGGCAATAAAACTAAGTTTAAAATAAGTATCTAGGCAACATTTGTAACAATAACTGACATCTGGTATTAAAGTTATTAAATACATAGAATTATGATGAATATAAAAAATTGATTGCTTCAATATAATAAACATAAGAAAAATATAATTATTGGTATTATATAGAGAAAAAATAAAGGAATATTTCATACTTCAAATAATACATTGGAAAATTAAAGGTTGAATTTTATATCAAAAACACATAGTTACTGTATTTGTGTAAGTTTCTAAATATTGTCTTTAATTTTAAATTACAAATTAAGTTGAGTAGTTTGGCTAGCTGAGAGAGTGATTGTTAAATCGAGGGCTAAACAGTATACAGCAACTACATGTATGTTATAAAGCTCAAGCAAAAGTATAGAAGGTGGGTGTGACACCCTCAGGGGTTGACAGAATTTATTACTTTCTACTCCATTCAACTAGAGAACTTTGAAATTTGCATGTCAATAGGGCAAGATAACATACTTAATTGTCTAGACATACTTCTACAGAACTGGCATTATATGAGTCAAGACAGGAAGTGTAATAGTTGAGATTTTTCATAGCTTGTGGGTCATGTGACAACACATAACTGAAGTTTAAGTATTCTTCAAAGGTTTCTTTTGAAATAAAGGAATTAAAACTTAGATAACATAAAACTTTGAATCATAACATACATTATAATGTTAATTTCATTCACATACATTGATAGTAAAGTTATTTAACCCTATTGCCATGGGTATCCTTTACTATGCATGACACAAGGTTTTAGTGTCTTACATTCAAAATTTTATAAAAGTAGTTTTTGTTTATGTTATACCAATTAGTATAGCATAAAATCTTAGGTAATAATCCATATTTTAATATTATATAAGTTTTAAGTTATTACTGCTATTAGGCAATATTTAAAAAAATCCTGAATTTCCCCTAATGTGACACATTTTCTCTAGGTATCTTCTCTTCTTTATTTTATCCACCACCCCTCCAGTAACTACGAAATTAAATGTAAATTACTCGTTATAAAATTGTCATTGCTCAGACAAACCATAATTTTTATAGCCTTAAATCTTGTTTGGTTACAGAGTCATCAAATAGAAAATCAGACCCTTCTTGCCACACCCACCTACCACATCCTCTCTTTCAGGATTTCTTAATAGTTCTCTCTTACTCTAAATACTATATTATGTATAACCAATAGAAAACCAAGGTTATCATCTATCAAATGACATATTAATTATTTTTCTGAACAGAGAATTGTCATTTTCTATGTTAGTACAAGCTTCATTCCCATGGGAAAGATAATGACTAGCTTAGATGAATTTGTAACGGATCTTGTCGCATTGTTAAAAAGCCAGAAACATTGTGATTGTTAAAGGAAATTGTCTGCTTTTTGCATTTTATTATTCTTTGTTCTTTGGCGCATTACTTAATTAAATAAAAATTATTTAATACACTACTACCAGTAGTATAAAAAAGTAGGGTTAAGTGTGATTGATAGTTGACAAAAAAAAATTATACTTAGGTAAGCGCTTTATTTCTTGTTTTTCATGTTTATTCTTTATTCATTATTTTAAAAGTAACTAAAATGTACAAATAGATATCTCTTCAGGTTAGTTAATGTTTGATTAGGTAAAATAAATAATAATAATAATATAATAAAGATATTTCACGAGGCATGCATGCAAGCAGCTCGGAGTAGCTCATGGGTAAAGTAATTTGATAGCATAACATGAGCTGCATGTTCCCCAAGTGATTTTCAATATAATGGCACCAATAGTAGTTAGATACAGTTCAAAGGGCAATAAATCAATAAAATTTAATTATAAATAGATGTATACTGTTACGAGTTTAAAGCTACTTAGGATAAATGAATCTAGTTTCATGTTACAATTGGAAGTCATTCTAGAAAGAAAAAAGGGGGTAATTTAGATTTATTTCAATTTTTAAAATTTTTTTTTGGTGGTTATGAGGTTGGTCAGTTTGACCAATTTAGGAGGTTTTAGAGATTACATAAATGAAATTTGAGATTATTGAGATAAAAAAAGTATTTTTAATCTAAATGTGAAAATCAATTTGCACACAGACTATTCAAAACAAATACTCAAAATACTGAAGACCTTTACAAAAAAAGAGTTTTTGTATGTGAAAGACTTGTAAGGTTCACTGAAAGACTGCCAAATCCCGTGAAGATATACACACTATATTAAAAGTTAGTAGTATCAAATCTATAAAGACTTTGAAAGAGTACAAAGAGGTCATGTGGTCAGTCAATTTGACCGAGCTCGTGTTGAGAGAGTTAATTAAGTTTTGAATGTAAATCAATGATTTGCGTAGAAAAGTTTTAAAAGGGTACCTGTTGCAAAAGATTAATATTGCCCATTTTTTATTCTATGACCCCAGTTTTGGGGTTGCTTTGTTTTCCTTTTTTGCTTCTTATTAAGGGTTTATGCTATTTCCTTTTTTTAACAGCTCCTCACCCTTGCCTTGGCCCCCTCATGTTTGTGACTCTTTTGTCCTTACTTGCAGACATTCTTCCTTTCCTTTATAGATTTCCTCTCATAGGTCTCTGTTCGTCCTGCTTAGGAATTAGGCCCCTTGTCTTCTATTTTATTTTCTGGTTCCCCATTTTTCCATCTTTTCTATTTCTCACCACCCTCCTATATTCATTTTCTTCTCTCTGCCTTTTGTCTGAGGCATTTAATCATGCTCCAGAGGGGTTTTCTGAAGAGGTTTCTTCCCCTTTTTTGTGCTAACTTAGCCTGTTACCCTTGTTCTGCTCTGTCTCTCTCTACTGTACACCTTTCTCATTCTTGTACATGAGGTCTTTGTTGAGTTCTCCTTCTTCACCCAGAAGTCTTTGGTGGTGTTAATTTCTCACTGGAGACCTGGACTGAGGCTGCACAGCTTCAGTCCCCATTATTTTCCCAAGTTTTTCTTCTTTATCTATCTTGCCCTTTGACTTCTGTTCCTTGTCTGGATCTGTCCACCCATATCCTTCCCATTCCTGTTTCCAGACCATTCTCTTTTCCTTGTCCTTCCACTACCCGATGTCTAGTTCATTGCTCTTCTTGTTAAAAACTATTCTGGCATGTGAGTACTTGTATTTTCCTCTTCGTCAGCCATTGGTCTCAATTTCTACTTACAGACAAATTTCACATTTTCTCCCCACTTCTCTTTGCTCTTTTTATCATTTCCCTTTCTGTTCCCACCAACCCTATCTGTGGTCTTTTTTCACCCAGTTTGTGGTTGGCTATGGTCAGTGTATCGGACACTTTCCTGCACATCCATAGTGACTTGTCCTCCAGACATTTTCTGTGTTCTGTCAATAACATTTGCATCTTACAACTCCTTGCCTCTCCCTTCAACATAACATTGGATTATATTATATTTATTTCTATTGTGAAGGCCTTTGCTCACCATCTTCCCAGCTTGAGGCTGCCATTCCTTTTCTTGGATGATTGGCTTCCATTGGCCCATTCTTGGGATGTATCCTCTTCTCACATCTCCCTTCTTCTGCAGGAGGCTGTTTGGTTGGGGTGACGTCTCAAGGTATCCAAGTCCTTTCTCATATACATTCAATATTTGGATACATTTGGGCATTTTATTTATCTCTTGTCTCAGCTGAGCTAAGCATTTTCCTCTTTGCCTGAGAGCTATAGAATATTTAACCACTAGGAATTGTGCTTCTCATTCTTATCTTGCATGAAGGGTTATTTTGCTTTGGAGGACTCTGGCTTTCCTGGAATCCCTCATTCCTTTGGGGCATGCACACATGTGGCTCCTCCAGTGGTTTCTTTCTTGGGTTCCATTGTCCTTGATTGTGAACCTTTCCTCTTCTATACTCAAGGAATTGTCATGATGGCCAGACCATGTATATATATTACTTCCAGTGTTCCATTTCTACCCCACAAACTGGATCTCCATCTTTTCACTGATACTTCCCTTTCAGGTTGAGGTGTATTTCTGGAAGACGACACGAATTCCAGTGTTTGGATCAATTGGGCATGATCCTCTCTGACATTTCCATGGTCATTTCTTACATCAACCATCTATGGGGAACCCTTTCCTTCTAGGCATTGGACCTACTCTTCAGTGCTCATTCACATTGGGTTTGTCTTTTTGCCTCTAATTCTAGGAGCTATGAATCTTCTGGTGGACTGCCTTCCTAGGCTGGACTGTGTTCTACCCACAGAGTGATCTCTTCATTCCCTGATCTTTCATTGGACTTGCTCTTCGTTGGGCACATTCCTTATAAATGACTTTGCCACCCCTCTCGACTCCAAACTTCCTCTCTCCTGGTCTCCTGATCCTCATCTTTTGGCTCTGGCTGTAGATGCTTTCAGCCAGGACTGATCTCACTTTTTTTCTGTATGCCTATCCTCTCTACCTCCTCTCTCAGGTTTTCACCATCATATGTGATACTCTTTCTTGAGTCATACTGTGCTCTTTTGCCAACTCTGCCTTGATTCCTATTGCTTGGCATCCAGAACTCTCTTTCTATATGTGATGTCCCCTCACTCTTGTTTCATCCTCACATGTTCATTTTTTATAAAGGGATTTCATCCCTCTATCTTCACGTGTGGGATTTGCTCATTGGACCAGGCTCTCTGATCATTTAGCTTTCTTTTTGTTGCATTCCTATTGCCCTTCCACTTTGCTTGTCTATCAACGAATATGATAGAGATCTTTCGTTATTGGTTCATCTGCCACTCCATTCCTACCAGCTGTCCTATTGTGAACCATCTTTCTACCTTTTTTACCTAGCTGGTTGACCATGGGTTGTCAGTCTTCACGATTGCTGGTTATCAGGTGGCATTGTCCACTACATCTCACCTTTTCCATTACCACAGGATGTTTTCTTCCCCTGCCCTTTACACTCTATTCTGTTCTTCTTCCTTCTTCAATGACTTCCTTGCCTGGTTTTGCATGCTTTCATATCTGCCCTGTTTGAGCAGTTGGCTTCTTGCTCTTTGTACCACCTTCCTCCTTTTTCTCACCTGTGGTTGCTGTTGTTCAAAGGTCTATGCTATTGTTGCTTCTCACACCGTCTTCCACTACATTTATATACTCCTCTACCAGAACCAGTCCTTCCTTCTTCAGACTTCTGCTGCTCAACAGGGTAACTGTATATTCTCTCCTATTTCTCTTCATTTTATCTCTCACCTCTATGATCGTTCAGATCCAGATTGGCTCCTATGTGTTGTTTCGGCTGTTCATTGTTCCTTATCATGGACAGCCCCTTAGCAGGTTCCCCACCATCATCTGTTCTTACCCTGGGTCCCCTCTTCTTCCAGAGATCTCTCTCCTTCTACCCTTACTTAATATGTTCATCAACTTCTTTGGTTGGTATATTCTACCCTAGGTGTGGATGCTTGCAAGCTATTTTACAGTTTTTTTCATCCAATTCATCAACTTTCTCATTCTCTTGTTTCCCATTTTTCACCTGCCCTCAGACGAGATCCTCCAGGCAGGTATGTGGATGACTCCCCCATGTGTTTGTCGCTCATTATCTTCACCAGTTACCATACTTCAATTGACCCACCATCTTTGAAATGGGTAAGTGTGTTTCCCTTTTCATTTCTTTTCCTTTTTGTCAAACAGGGTCCTGCCAGGTGATTGGTGTTGCCTCCTCTAACGGAAAGTGTTCAGCCCTTCTGCCCTGGCTCTGCCAGTGCTCAATGTGAAGTTCTGCAAGACCACTTGAAGTATCCTTATGGTATTCAAATGTACTCAGATGTCTGATCCGGACTGTACCAATTCCATAGCCTATCATGGAAAAAGCCAGCACCAGGGAAGTGATTGCCCATTTCTTTGGCTCACACTTTTTAAAATAGGGTTTTGTGGTCACCCATTGCACAGTTTCCACTAAAAGACCTTTCCAGCTGGTGGTCTGATAGGGATCTAGGCACTTCTCCAGGTTTTCCCAACAGGATTTTCCTCCCTTTTTCTTCAAATGTAGCATGGGAGACCCTTGCCACTTACCAGTTTCTAGCCACTGGGGTGGTGGACCATGGAGAATCTTCATCAGTTAGGCTTAGCACAATACAATGAGAAGCAGGATGGTAATGACATCATCAGTCTAGTACAGGTAACCCATCAAAGAGCTACTGTGTCCTCTTCCTACAGCCAGAGTCTGTCTAGTAGAGTTGAGGTGAGCACACATTCTACAGTTTGATCATGCCTTAACCACACTACACATATTAACTCACTGACCACTTATGTGCAGGTACTCCATTGGTCATGATCACATTCCACCCATCCCTGCAATACTTTAGCCTTTTTTGTCTTTCCCTCTTTTTGATCTTGTGCAAAAAGAATACCATTGTTGAGATGTGGTCTCCCACAGCTGATCCTCTGTGGAGCCCCTGCCATGAGGTGTGACACTCCATGAGCTCGTGACTGATGCATGTTGTCAACCAGAACTCCCTTCTGATAAGGAAGAAATTATTAAAAAGTATGAAACTGTAAAAAAAAATGCCCGGAAGTTTTGTTTCAAAATTGTTTTAAAGTTTCTAAAGTTAAATGATTTAAGAAAAAAAACTTTATTTGATGTATTATATGTAGAAGTGGGTTTTGGCCTGCTTGTAAATGTATTATAATCTAAAAATGCATCCAAATATTTAAATGCATACTTTATTTTTTGATCCTTCCAACAAGAAGCATGCAAAATAAGTAGATTCTGATTGTATATAAATGTGCGTACACAAATTAACAGATATATAGTGTAATACATTAGTTATTTTGATGCATTATATACTAAAAAAGAATACAATCTGCAAATTTTAATGTTTGTTTTCATGTAATAGCAAAGCTCTGTTGATAAATACTTGCATACTTTTCAACAATAATGTTATTATTTGACCACTGTAAAAAAACAACAACTGAGTATATACATTCACCATATATCTTTCACCAGTCTTGCATGTTTTCTTGGGAAACAATTATGTGGTTTGTACTGCATTACTCTCAAGTTTCATATCAATTAAAAGAAATTGTGGTATCTATTTTGTCTGTGCAAGTAAACAGGAAAAAGCAATGCTTATAAACTTTACATGAAAAACAATAATATCAAATATTGAGGTTAAATCACTGTTTAATTTGGAAAAATTCTTGAAGTTATGAAAGTTACAGATAACTGTTGCTAGCAGTGTGCTCTTGAGCTATAACCATGTACAATAGGACTTCTTTTTGATTCCTGGCTTTTTACAATTTCTATCTTTTTACATGAATAAAATAAAGAATAAACTAGCAATAAATACTTGATTACACTTGAACACCAAGAAAAGAATAATAGCTTTATAAGCATAGGAACCAGTCATTATATGGCTTTGTGTGCATCATACTTGGTTTAATAGTATTTTCATTTTCAAGCCCATTACTAGTACTTGGAAATAGAAGAGGCAAGGGGATGTAGAAATTTTTTTAAATATCATTATTTTTGCCAAACTTCACCAGTTTGGCTAAATACAACTGGCTTTTTTTGTCTGTACTAAATTAAACTCTACTTTTTTAAAATTTCAATATTATAATAAGTAATAACTTCAAAGATAGATTAAGAGCTTACTAAAAAAACAGTGCCGTTATTATTAATTAAAAGTTATACAAATGCAATGACATTTATTATTAAATTTTAAATATTTCAGTTGCTCCAGGGTCTTGAAAAGTATTGGCTGTAGTATTATGTGCAAAGAACTGTGTAAAACACATAGATCAGAACTAGTTATGAGAGCCAATATATCACCATCAAATTTTACTTAACTCTTGCAGAAGGTACTCAGATAAGAGAAAAAGAAATATAAGGAAGGGACTTTTTTTTTTTTAACTGTTGTTAACCTCTTGTGTATAATTTGCTTTATTACATTAAGTATAGTAAATTTGAGAACTGAATTAAATACCAGCATGCTGAAGAAAAGACCATGCAGTATTTTTCTGCTATGGATAAGCATCTGGTCAGAATATGAGCACAGAACATTGAGCTGAACACAAAAGTAGTTTTTTGCAACTCAGTTGTATTAAGCATAATTCTATTACTTCTTTGTTTTTTTTTTTGTGTTGCATTCCAATAGTAGGTAAAGTTAAAAATATATTATGGAAAATATAAGAAGAGGCAACTGCCTCCTATTGCCTCAACATAGTTACAAGCCAGCTTTGCTATTGCAAAAAGTTTGATAAGCCAATTGTATTTGTAGGCCATTTACAAAATTATTCTTTTAAGTTTATCTGTTACACATACTTATAATAACACTGTTTGTGAAAAATGGATGGAATTTTTTGTTGGTACTGATCTTTTTTTACTCACCCTTTTCAAGTCATAGAAGTTTCAATATAATTGATAGATAATCTTTTGATTTGTGGTGTTTTTTGAAGATTTTTTTCATCCTTGAGTGACTTAAGTAATTTGTTAGCTGACACCAGATTTATGACTCTAGATTATCAATAACTTGAAAGATTTCACAGTGCATAGTGAATATTTTTTTAGATAGACCAGCCCGGAAATTTTGTAAACGTTTAAAACAGTAATTTTGAACTGTACTTTAAAATTTTTTCACAGAAAGATGTGTATGTAAAATAAATTATTTTAAGTTTTGTTTCATCATTACTGATTAAAAAAAAAGATTGTTGGGTTATATTTCTAATAGAATTATAATAGTTTTAAATTTTATCTGTATATGTCTTTGCTTTGTTTTTTCTTAAATAGCAAGATTACAAGGTAAGAGAGTTAAACCCATACTGGAAACATGGTGGCACAGGCTTACCTCAAGAAGAGACTGCTGAGACTACAAGGCACCAAACTGGAGATGCTGGATTGAGTTGGTTACGTCGTGCTTACAGAAGGATTAAAGAGAAAGCTCAGGAGGAGAATAGAAGCATGGAAGATGTAGCAGCTGAAAGATGGGGGGTAGGAAATATGTTTAGTGTACCATAATTTTTTTTTTTGTTAAACACATATTGAGGTTTCAAATATATAGCTCATATTTTGAGGACTTTGTAACTCATTTCGGTATAACATTTGTTAAACCTGTTATTATTGTGAAGAGAATTACATTAAATATTTAACAAACCTTACATCTAAACAAGGCAATTTATGACAATTTGCAGTTCCTCACTGAGAAATGATAAACCCTTATCATAATTGTTCAGCTTATTGATTTTCTTGTATTGTAAATGGTTTTTAATACACATTATAGGTTCTGTTGTCACCATGAATTCTAAGTACCTGGTTAAGGTGATGATCTAGTTGAGTAGTATTGTTGATGAAAGAAAAAATATTATTGGAAGGAATATATAATTATTATTGAGCATTTTTTTAAATTTTAGTTACATTTTACAAGTGATAGATTAAAGTAAAATAAAATAATATTTTATTGCAGAACTCACGTTTCATCACTTTTTGTATGCACTTGAATGTAAAATATTTTAAATTATTACATGTTTTGACAGCAACAAAATATCAACATATGCACAATACACTTTCTTGAAGTTTCTTCCCCTGCTGTGCAGAACTTTGTTTTGGAGGTTTTAAATTTACAGCTTTTCAAAACCACTGGAAAAGGTTGTTTAAAATTTCATATTGGAATCTTTTATTTTATCACGTTCTGTCATTTATCTTTTAGTAACAGTCAAAAATTACTTGAGCAACATTTTTAGGCCTTCTGCTATCAGTTATGTAATTTATTCATCTTGATGTACATACATACAGCACAAATTTTACAGATATTTAGTATTCAAAACATTTCTTATAAATCTTGGGCTTCTGTGACATTCACTGCTTTGATTTTTTTGGGACAGTATGGAAGGAAATCTTTTCTATAAGTAAGATTCTCTCTCTCTCTTCTTTTTTTTTTGAGTTTGTCTTGGCCAAACAGAGATACACAGTAAAGCAGTGAATGTTAGGAATAATCCTAAATTTTCTGTGAAAATGATCCTGCTGAAGACATGCATGCATGAAATGACCATCTACAAAATGTATAATATAACCATTAGAAAACTTAGGGATTGCAGTAGCATGCATTATATGTGTAGTCAAAACAAATTCGTATTTGCAGGGATATAAGGAAAGAAGGTTAGTAAATTGTACTTTAGCTTCCATAGCACAATGCATGCTTACAAACAAAGGCCCTGTGTTACAGTGCAGCAGAAGGTTTAAGATAATAATGTGTTCATATTTACTTAAAAAACAACAACACTCCTCTATGTAAGGTCATGAATACGTTCTAAAAGTGAGGTCAAATCCCACTATTCAATCTGACTAAAGTAGCCTGAGTGTTGGAAGTGAAAAAATTCATTAGATATTTGGATTCAAAGAATTATTTAGATTTTTTCAAATAAGAAATTATTTTATGGATATTATTTTATCATTCTTTTTAACTTTTAATATCAACAGTCTGTTTCATTATATTATAACGCTCTTAGTGAGATGATTTCCAAGAAATTAACATTAAGAAGTTCTGATGAGGAACATATTGTTAAAATAATTTGTTCTTCATTCTTAAATCTTTTTTAGTCCCTAGAAAGACTAGAATCAATGTTGGCAAAATCTGAAGAGTTTTCGAAAGAACTGAAAAATGCTGATAGGATAAGTAATAAATCAGGTAGAGAATCGACCAGAAAGTATGGTTCTAAAATGAGTAAACCAGTAGATGATGATACATATGTTGCTTTACATCAGAATCATAGCTCATTTCATGGAGAGCCATATGTAAAAAAAAGTAGAATGCCTCAAGTATCATCATCTGTATCCAGATGGAAGAAGAAAGAATTCATTGTTACAGACAATGCTGTCTCTTGTGAAGGTGAGGGGGGGGGTTTCTGTTATATTGAAATTTGTAGTTTTGTATGTGATATTAGCTGTAAATTATTTTATTTTCTTACAGTTTAAAAGTAAATATATTCATTTTTTAGAAATTCCTGCCAATTTCCTTTGGGAAGATGAATATTTTTTATGACTTATGTGTTTTAAAGCTTCTAATGTAGTTGTTGTTTTATTTTTACTTTACTTTTTGAACTTCCATTTTACAAAGCTTTATTAAAGAAACTGTAACAAATATTTGAACAAAAACATAAAGACTAGTTATTCATGTAGTTACTTATAACTCATTCATTGCAGTGTAATTTTATTAACTGATCTCCATCAGTTGCTATGTTTTGTAGTGTTTACATCTTAGCAATCCAAATATATATTTCTTCCAAAAAAGCTATGAAGTCTATGTTACATTATTATCCAAATTTGTTTTAAATATAGATTCATCTCTGTTAAACTTTACCTGTGTACACATACAAATATGCTATATTTATCAACACACCAAAACAAAATAGTTATCATTTGGAGGGTCAACCATTGTACTGGTAGCTATTTTTAAAATCTAGAAATAATACAAGAAAATATGTTTATATTAGACAATTATTACTTTATGAAATTGTTGAATTAAATTATATTATAATTTATATTGTAGATTATTATTGGAGTTAAGTCATAAACTATTCAACTTAGTGTGATTAGCAAACTTGGGATAATTATTATTATAGCTTCAGAATCAAGAAAGCTATTGGAAGACTCACATCAAAGCTCAGAGGTAACAAGTAATGAAACAAAAACTGTTGTACTGTCTGAGAAGGAAATGAATGAACTTGGTGCAAAGATAGTGAAAGCTGAAATTTTAGGAAATACAGAGTATGCAAACAAGCTGAAAGCACAATTACAGGCTGCAAAAGAAGCTAAGGAAACTATGCCACAGGCAAATATATCTAGTAAAAGGAAGAGTAACACTGAAGATGTTGTTCTAGTACGATCAGATGGAAAAGGATTTTATAAACCAGTCATGGGAGCCTATAAGACGGAACAATTTAATCAGAAAAAACAAAAGGTAAAATCTATTGCACATTCTTGTGTGATGGCCTGTATTTGTTAAATACATATCTTAAAATGCTTCTAAAAGTATAATTTTGTTTATTTAGGATTATCAATTTTTATAATCCTCAATTTAATCCATGTTTATTAAATATAGCCTCATATCTCTGTCACTACTGGCTAAACTACCTATGAACAAAGATCACATACCTGTAATTTTGGTGTGTGGACATTTCAAACAAGCATAATAAGAAAGTGCAATTACTGAATATATTTTAAATGGGTTCTTTGGCCAGATCCAGTTTTTTGTTGTTTGTTTATTAGTTGGGTAAATAGCCTCAGCTAAAATATAAGGTGTACATTGTTATAGATATAGAATTAAAATTCAGAAATGCTAGTCACCTCTCTGCACAACAAATAGCTGTTATCTCGCACATGGCTATAAAGTATTTTTGCACATGCCACAAACTTTCAACAAAGCTCCCACCTTTACACGTGTTAGCGTATATTGTGCAGACTATAGCCCTCTACTAGTAGGAGGGCAACACATCCTTTTTGTGCATTATTCCCCATGAGCACTTGTTTCTTTCCAAGGTCCCCCCCCCCCCATTTTAAGGGCTGTCCATTACAGGCCTTAGAGGCAATTTGTTTCTGGAGCTACACCTCAGCTCCAGTCCAGTGAAGACTATTCTCCTACTATGCACACCCGTTGAATCCCTTGGCTACAGACCAATGAATTACTCTGGTGCTTTCTCAAGTTTTTTTTTTCTGTCCTACTACTCTTTACTTCACCTGTTTGGAATGCACGGGACAATTTCTCAACTCCATTCTGTGGTCTTACTCCCACATTTTTTCATTCCCATGCAGATGGGAGATTGATGGACAGTCATCAGTCTGCCCCATTTGAACCAACTTTGATCTCTCCTCAGTTCCTGATGACAGTTTTTTCAGTGATGGATGATCTAGGTTGAAGTGTGTTTGGCACTTTCTCAAGATTTTGATTTTTTCCCTTACTTTTTGCTTCCTTCAGCTCATCCAACGCAGTCAAACATTAAATTGTTAACCCTTTAAGTTGTCTATGGCCCCTTCTTATTTTCTTTGGGTCCAGTGGGCCTTTGCTTGGAGGTTATATTCCTGATGTTTATTATAGAGGTTTGGCCTCTACTTGCCCTTTCTAATGTGACTTTCTCCATCCCCTCTCCTTTAGGAATCTTCTTATTTGGGGTGGCTGGTTTACCTTTAATTCCATCTCACTACTACCCTAATTCAATCGCTTAGGAGGAGGGGGGTTCTTTCTAACTTTGTGTTTTTGAGATATGGAGCTTTTGATATCCTTCTCATATCCTTAATTTCATTCACTAGAAGATTTGTCTCTTTTAAGGACTCTCTCTTCTTTTAAGTCCCATGCTCCTTTTGGATGTGCCCATATATGTCCCCTTCAGTGGTTTCTGGCTTGTCAGTGCAGGTATATTCAGAGATTCTTGTCTTTTTTTCTCATCTCATTGTTGTGGTGGCTCACTTGATCCCACAAGACTCTAGACCTCCTTCCCCCACCTTACCCAGACTTGTTTCAGGTCAGAGTCCTCCAGGACTCATTCCACTCACATATGTAGGTTTCCATAGCCATATTGAGTGCTGCATAAGTGGCACATTATGTTGCTTTGTACCTGATGACAACTAATCCTACAAACAAACCTTTTCACCAATGTCTCAGTTCACGTGGGGCGCAGTTCTGGTTGCCTGATCCATTTCCAGCATCTGATCTCCAGAAATGAGGTTTCTCTATCTCTGTGTCCTTGAGATGTTGACTGCTTCCAGGAACCTTTGTTTTCCAGCTCTTGATTTCCTCTTTTGGACCACAGCCACTATGTTCAATTGTTGGTTTAACATGTCTCAGGAGTACAGGCCCTGGTAGCAGATCAACTATTTTGCCTAGGCCTGGATCCTTCCCACAGAGTGGTCTCTCCATTCTCTGAAGTTTCTTGGTGGATTTGCTCCCACTAAGGAAGTTTTATCATCATTATCTTTCTAACTCCCCTCCACTCCTCACTTCCACTCTTTTAGTTCTCCAATTTTAGCATCTAAAGCTCTAGCAGACAAAGCTCTGAGTCTGGAGTAGTTAAACCTTTTTTTTTTTATATGCTTCCAACATATTTCTTCTTCTTGCTTGCAGAGGCCATCACTCTCACTTTTGTCTTGGCTGTCTCCTGTATTTATCACAGGGATGGGATAATCTTCTTTTTCACCAAAATTTGGTGGCTTGGGAGTGTGATTGGAGGTTTAATCCATTCATCTTCCCTTTATGATCATGCTGACTTATATCATCTACTTTGTTCTGTACAGTCTACTCATTATTCTCTTACTTGTACTGTTCCTTTGAAGAACACTTGTCAACATCTTTTCTTGCCATGTAATACATCTTCCTGTTGTAACTTATCTCCTTCCACTTTACCTAGTTAGGTTATATACCTCATCTGGCTAGTTTATTCTTATAAGGGTGATAACTCTTTTCTAATTTTTCATGTCTCTTCCCATCATATTTGTCATCTTAAGGCTTCTCTGGTCTCTACCTGTTGACATCCCCTGTGTGATATCTATTGCAGATATGGATGACCCTGACACTTAGTATCAAATTACTTATACCATGGAGTGGTTTTGTCTCCCTCCAGTTGCTCCTTTCCATTCTTCACAGTGGCTCTGCGATGTTGAGCTATCTGTTTTTGTTTTTTTTCCATCCAGGTTGCCACAAAATAACCTGTGTTGCTTTACAGGTAATACTTCTCTTTCTTGAAATTTGCATTGAACATGGAGAGAACAGAAAGTGCTATGCTCATCTGCCCATATTCTGTGCCCGTTATTGAGGTGGGGTTTTCTGCAAAACTGCTTTGGTAGCATATGTATATTATCTTCCAACCTGGACTTCACATCTGGGTAGCACCTGCTGTCATTAGTCATGTAAGTTATTCCATTACATATTAACTCTTTCAGCATGGGCTTTTCCTTGGGACTGACCTTGTAACCATTTTGTGCTTGTTATAGTTTTCATGCTATAACTTTTAAATTAGTAAGCGATTGTTAATGAAATTTGGCAGATTATCAGTAAACATTACAATTCTTTCATATGTAAAATATAATATTTTTTTATCATG